AAAAAAAAAAAACGAAAAAAAAAAACCATATCAAGAAAGTCACCATGCTCTCCCTCTTCCTGCTCCCTTCCCTTTCCTTCCTGAATAATTTAGTCCAAAAGCTATTAGGTGGGGCTGAACAAGATGAGTGTCTGCAGGGAGAGTGGGAGGAACCCCAGTGGCCCAGAGTGGTGTGCTGGAGCCAGAGCAGGGTGGGAAGGGACATGAGTGACCCAGCACAGGATGTTGGAGCCCAAGCTGGGTGAAGAGGGTGTTGGTGACAGGAAACAGCAGTTGCCACCCAGAAGGTGACATTTGAACCCATGTTTGGTGAGGAAAATAGTAGATTGGTTCCATAAGGGGGGAGGGGTTTGATCAAATAATAAATATATTGAGGATAATAGGAACCAGGTACCTTGTTGTCAAGGAGGAGGTTACAAATATGGAAAGAGAGAAAATGAACCCGGTGGTATTAGAGTAGAATTAAAGGTTTCAGGGTGAGCTCATGGTTTTCGAGATAGGTAGGTAGATAGATTGATTAATCAATCAACTGACAGATAGGTAGCATGTGTATATATTCTCTAATTCTGACCATTGAGAGTGCCTGAGAGCAGTGCCTATCCAACAGCAACGAGCACATCAAACACTCAGACTTTGGTTTCTAAATACCATTCTCCACTAAAAGGAACTAGGGCTCTTTGTTGAAAAGGCTGATTTCAGGGTTAGGAAAGCATAAGATGAGATTGGAACATCTTGTGGCACCAGAAAGTAAAGATGTGCCCAAAGAAAAATGGAGACATGTCAAAAGGACACTGAAGTTAGCCTGAAAGTGCTCCTGTGAACTATATTTGAACAATTAAGGATAAAAATAACAATAGAAATGGATTATAACCCACTAAATATAATAGGAATCCATGAGACCATCTGTCATAGATAGACAGACAGATAGATAGATTTAAAGTCTGAAGAGGAGTGGGAAAAAGATTACGTGGTACCAAAGCATCTCACCACAAACTATTTGTTAATTACAAAGGGAAAAAGTAACTATTGTACAGAAGCCCTCAATCAAGCGATCAAAATTAGCATCTTGTGAAAAAAGTTAACATCTGTCCCTGTAATGGGACAAACTGACACCATGTACTACCTGACTGGATACTGTAAGAACAAGCATCAGTTCTGTGGTATTCCTACCAAACATGCATAACCTGAACACAATCATGTGAAAACATCAGACAAACCCAAACTGAGGGACATTCTACAAAATTGGGGGTGATCAAGCATCATGTTGGCAATTTACTCTTCATTCAGAATAAAAAAGATATTTGTATTTAACTAGGGAACTTTCCTTTAGCTTTGAGAGTATTTCAAATTTAAAAGTTAATAATGGGAAGAGTTAACTTGTGTTATTATAGATTTGATGGAAGCCAAGTGTCAATGGGCTTAAGATCTGGATGGACCAAGAGAAATGCCAGTAATTATATGTTAAGGCAATACTTCTTAAATTATCTCTAGTGAAGGAACAATTCTTCTGCCCAATCTATTATGGACCGTCCATTAAAAAAATACAAAATCCCGCACTTTCATTTGAGGACACTATCAAATTGCTCCAAGAGTTTTCAAATGCTTACTCCCTGTGTCTGTACTTAGCATGGATCAGGAATAGTCATGAACTAGCTTGGACCACACCTTGAGCAGCTCTTCTCTTTGGTAGGATGTGTGGTTCCCCAAGTGCCATCATGTCCAAATGAGAAATAAAAATTACTCGTCACAGTGTTATCCATAATAGTAGCAACAATAATTACCACTGTAATTAACATCAACCATCTATACAAAGTATTCAAGAGAGGGACTGTCCAGGCAATGGGAGATTAGAGGACTGTCTTTACATATAGTAACTCAACTTCCCCAAAAGGGTCACAGGACACAAATAGATGAGGCCACCTTGATTCCAAAGTAATTGCTTTATGGTGACTTAAAGAAAAGACTTAAAGAAAGACAAATCCACAAAGATCAATTATACAGAAGATGGACAAAAACATCTTCTATGGGTCGATCTGCAACACCAACCCATTCCTGTCATTGCTGGGAAGACACTCAGCGTTCAGAAGGGGTTAGGAGAAGACATCCCCAAATCAGATAGGTTTGATTTAACTGCAGATACTGACATCAATACAGTCCACCCAAGGGCCGACTCTGGGTCTGTGCCACACATAGCCTCTCCCTCAGCCAAGAGAGAACAATTCTCCACAGTAAACCAAGACCACAGCAGAAGGACAAGAAAGGAGCTATTACATCCTTTGGGAAATGGCAAACACCATCTAGGCTCAGGGTTCTTCCAGAGGACACTCTGACACTCCCAATGTGTGTCTCCGAACACTGAAATCCCCGTTCCAGTGTCCCCCTGACACCGATTCCAGCCACACACAGAGGAGGGTCCACATATATACAACCCTGAAAGCTGGAATCAGCAACACCGATTTCTGCAGCATCCGTCTCTGGTCCGCGGCACTCCACTTACCTGGAGCAGTTTTGTAGCACGATGTTCGGGAGGGCAGTGATGGGGCATGCTTTGCCTTGGGGCTCTGGGTACTCTGCAAGACTTGTCTCTGCCTCTTCAGCTCCTCTTCCCTTTCTTGGGCTGCTCGGATCTCTTCTTCGATCATGGACAAAGTCCGCTGCTTCCTGGACCTCAGCTTGAAGGGCCCAACCATCACATCGGACTCTTGAGTGGCCAGGAGTGAGGCTGTGCTTCTCAACTCAGCTGCCTCTGAGTACTTGCTGAAATAGCTCCCTTCCAGTCTGGGCTCCTCCATGTTTATTGGGCCACTGGTCTGCACTGCCGGCAGTGGCTGGGCGGGCCCCCTTTCCCTGAGCGCCCTGTCTTCAGTAGGCAGAATCTTTGGCAATACATCCCTTTTCTCTTGAACAGGGGAGGACACCTGAGGCGGTTCAAACATGCTCTGAGGCTTCTCTGAGCTGGAAGCCCCAGTTCCAGCTTCCTCCAGACTTGCTTGATGTCCCTGCTGTTCTGCTCCACCCTTGTTGGTTTCAGACACAGCTCTGTCCACTTGCTCGGCTATGGCTTGTTGAATGGCATTCTGCACCAGGAGACCAGCCTGATATTCCAAGGGGTCATCAACCGATGGAGAGTCTCCCAGTGTGGACGAAGGGGAATAGAAACCATGATCACTGAATGACTTGGAGACACCTTCTCCTCGGCCCTCTGAGGGGTTGTCAGTTTGGGGAGTCTGGGGCAGAGAAAAATCAGCCAGTAAGTTTTCCTGGAGGGCGTTGGTTGTCTCATTGGAGGCCCCACTGTCACTGATGTTGTCCATGCTGAAGTCGTTGGACAGGGTCTCCAGGACGGTGGTATCCTGGGACCTCACCGACAGCTCATCCAAGCCGGAGTCAAGTTCCTCTGGAGTCAAAGAGACATTGACTGACCTTGAAAACTGATCCAAAATCCCAGGTTCGTCATCCTTGACCACAGTGAGGACAGCCCGGGCACTTGTAAACTCGCCGTCCTCTGCCCACAGTTTGGATAAGGGCCCGCGTTTGGAGGGCTCACTGTACGGCCCTTCCTTCCCCTGAGGAGCTGTGCTGCCCTGGCCCCCTCCTCCAGAAGACTGGCTCTCCAGGGCACAGTGGGCTTTCTGTCCCTTGGCTGCTGAGGAGTCTTCGGGAGGTCCCCCAACAGAAGCTGGTCTCGAGATGGTCAGTGTCTTGTCTGAGCTGACCGGCCCCAGAGGTCTGTAGAAGGGCTTGATGGAGAAGAGCCTGGGTGTACTCTGGCCCTTGGCCACTGTTTGCCTGGAATTCTCCATCAGCTGGAACTGTTTGCGAGCCGCAGAGAAGTCTATCTGCTCCGTGACGATGTCCTCCTTTGCACCGTCAGTCACGCTGGAGCGTTCTCGAGAGGACGCAGGGGCCGTGCAGAGCTGCGGCGCGGCCGGCTGCCGCCGCATCAGCAGCTGCTCTTGCTGCGCCCTCCTCTCCTTGCGCTCCTTGTACTTCTTGTGCGACTCCAGGTGTTCCTCGTTCAGCTGCTCCTCGATGGTCTTTTCCTGCGGAGGGTTCCACCATTTGGCGGCGATGCCAGGATTCTTTTTCACGGCCTGACTCCGGATGAGTTCTCGCCTCTCCTTTTCCAGCTCCAGCATCTCTTCTGAAGGCCTCACTTTCCTGACGCAGTACTGTTCTTTTTCACTCTTGTCGTCCTCAAAGAGCTTAGAGGGCTTTTTGTCCTCGTGGAAGGCACGCAGCTCGAACTTGGCTTCCTTCTTCAGCGTGGTGAGCGTGTACTCTCCGTCTCGGGAGGAACACCGCGAGCTGGTGGAGGAGCTGGGACTCACGGGCACCTGCAGGCTGTTCCCCAGCAGGTCTCTGGGCTGGTCGGGGGGGCGGCCGTTGGCTCTTTCACCCTCTGCCATGGTGTCAGAGGTGCTCTGATGGAGCTCCAGGGGAGGGGGAGCCTGCCTGCCAGCCACTCTCTCAGTGGGTTCCGGCTGGACGGCCGTGTGGGCAGGTGGGCTTGGGCTGCCCACCAAGATGGCTGCTCTAGGCTCTGGGGAAGACATGCCGTTGTAGGTTCCGTCCACAGCAGAATCACAGCAGCTGGCCTCCAGCACCTCGTCTAGATATCGGATCTCTCTGGCCACATCATTATCCAGAGATTCATGGTGATCAGCGAGGAGGCCATTGTGGGGGGGTGAGTAGAAGGGGGAGGGGTGGTCCATGGAATGTGGAGTCGAGGTGATTCCGGGAACACTCTTACATTCTGCAACAGAGACCTCAATTTCCATGTTTTTGTGATCTGGGGGAAGAGTGCTGGTGGCAGGCTCCAGGGTATTGCCACTACAGTTGTCTCTCTCCTTTTTTAGCCGGATATCATCCTCGGAAAGCTCGGGAGCCTTCTGGGAAAAAGAGAAAAAACAGAATTCAGGGTTAGACACCACATCGCTTATGGATATGAACTTCAGACATTAGCTAATAACTAACTGGAAGGAAAATTGAAACCACAATGACAGGATCTTTTGAATAGAAGTTTCTCTTCTAAAAAATCCTGTATATATTCATTTTGTTGCAGTAATGGGTACCTAAACCTTCTCAATTTTACAGATTCCATTTTGTTTACCTGGTGTCCAGAGAACTTTCAATAAATGCTAGTCCCATTTTTACATTTAAAATTAAATTAGGGGGACTTCCCTGGTGGTCCAGTGGGAAAGACTCTGCACTCCCAATGCAGGGGGCCTGGGTTCTATCCCTGGTTGGGGAACTAGATCACACATGCATGCCGCAACTAAGAAGCCTGCATGCCACAACTAAAGATCCCACATGCCACAACTAAACATGCTGCAACAAAGATCCCGAGTGCCGCGACCAAGACCCAGTGCAGCCTAAATAAATAATAAATAAAATAAATAAATATTTTTTTAAAAAGTAAATTAGGATTTGGATCATCTGATGACATTGCTCAAATAATTTCTAAAGTGGGGCTTCCCTGGTGGCGTAGTGGTTGAGAGTCCACCTGCTGATGCAAGGGACACGGGTTCATGCCCCGCTCCGGGAAGATCCCACATGCCGCGGCACGGCTAGGCCCGTGAGCCATGGCCACTGAGCCTGCGCATCCGGAGCCTGTGCTCCGCAACAGGAGAGGCCACAACAGTGAGAGGCCCACGTACCGCCAAAAAAAAGAAATAATAATTTCTAAAGTGGAAGAGATTATATAGCAATTGTATCAGAATTTTTCAAAAAATTTCATAGCAAATTTCTGCAGAAATGTAACAGAACTATTTGTATGTCCCCAACTATAAAAATAAGGTCGTTTGGCAGGAACAAATCTTGAAAACATGATTCTCAGCCAGATGTAATGCAATTATTCTGTAGACAGGAAACTTTTTAAAAATTTTTTCCAAAATAAAATACTGGAAAACAGTAGATCTCTTCAACGGCCCCTTAAGAGCTTCAGTGCCACACTGCCATGGCTGTAATTGACCATGTGCATTATAAACACAGAACCAAAGCCACTGACCACACAGTTCTGTTCTCAAAACAATGCTCCTTGGTTAAGGAGTGAAAAGCTAGTGGATGGTGGCCCCTCCCATCTAGTTCCTAAAATGCTTTGTATGTGACAGCTCCAATTTTGTGTTTAAATTAAATTTTAACTATATTTTCTTAATGTTTTTAAATGCATCCTATTTTTCATCAGTTATCAATCCCATGTCACTTTATTTGGCATTAGTTAAGATTAATTTTCAAACTCTAGGATTTTTTTTTTTTCTTACCAAAGGACTCTGGTTTGTCTCAGATAATTCAGCGGTAAATTGTGAGCTTAATTTGAGTTCCCCTCAGGGATTTCACTAACACTTTTATCAACTTTGTTTCAAGTCTCAGGTCTATAGGGTGCCTGGTATTATTGACTTAACACAATGCAAAACTGCAATACGGTATAATTTTCTTTATTTAAATTTAAACATTGTTAAAGGCTTAGAACATAATATTAAAACACCACCTTAGGATGATTCTCAGGGGATTAATTTAAAAATCCTTTCAAGGAAAGTGAACAGTTATGGATTTGTTCATAATATCTAGAAAAATGTGGAAGTTCATGCTATGTGCTCTGTTCTGCATTGCTGTCAGAATGTTGAAAAACTCTCATGGTCATCCATGAACTGGAAGGTTACCCATGAACTGGGGGTTTCCTTCACTGTGTTTCCCACATTCCTCTTTAGACTTAAAATCAATCAAGTAATATAAATTCCTTCCTTAGAAATAGGCAACAATAATGAATATTACTTCTTTGTCAGCACCTTCTGGTCTCAAAGGATCTTCCAGCCTTGATCTGTTCGTTGTCAAAGTCTGGTATTTAATATTTATAACTTCCACTCTCTTTATTTTGTTTTTACTTCATTTTTGACCACTGTTAACTACTGGCTCTTTTGTCTTTAGAATGACCTAAAGAGGCATGGCAAAAATGTTGCTACTGTCCTTTAAAAAAAGTTAACTAAACTTTCTTTTGGTAAGGAGATTCAGTAACTTCAGTAACTTCTATGTCATTCAAGAATTACAGGAGGGCTTCCCTGGTGGCGCAGTGGTTGAGAGTCCGCCTGCCGATGCAGGGGACACGGGTTCGTGCCCTGGTCCAGGAAGATCCCACATGCCGCGGAGCGGCTGGGCCCGTGAGCCAGGGCCGCTGGGCCTGCGTGTCCGGAGCCTGTGCTCCTCAACAGGAGAGGCCACAACAGTGAGAGGCCCGCGTACCGCAAAAAAAAAAATAATAATAATTACAGGAAATTTGAATGCCTAAAACTTACTGCCTGCCGTTCAGTCTTCAAGAAAACCTAGGTCAAAATTAGCCTACCCCATGGAAAGTTATTAATGGAATAAGCTGACCAACAAAAAGAAACACGGTATTGCTATGGTGAAGTCAGACTACTGAACCACTCCCCAACCCCCGGCCTCATTTGGCCAATGATTCTCTGCTAATATTCTTCACGGGAATAATAGAGCTTTCCTTCTATCTCTTTTGGCTTTTTTTTTTTGGGGGGGGGGGACAGGAAAATAGTAGGAAGCTGCTGAGATTGAAATATGGTTAAAAATCATTGCTCTACCGAAATGGAAAACACTTTACAATAGTTGACATGAGAGGAAAGAGGGCAATGTAACGTTAAAAGAAGGTAAAAGGCAAATAATTCTATAGATCATTTAGTCATTGATTCATTCATTAAAAATGCAGGAGGCTTGTTCTGTAGGGCATGGCGCAATTAATGGCAACAATAAATTCCAGGAGACAACACCTTTTTTCTTAACAAAAACTGGATTTCCCATACTTCCTAGGAAGCTGTAAGTCTGTTTTGGGGTTTACTTAGTCTGGTCAGGTGAAGTGAAAAACTTGCCTATGTTAATGTCTTGTTGCTGATCACAGAGACTGGAGTAACTGAGCCTATCCACAGCATCCCGGAGAACACTTTGTCAGCATTGTCCCTTTCCCCTGGAGGCTTCACAGTCCCAGTGTTGGACGATGGAGGAGCTGATGCCCTACGGCTTTTTTTTTTTTTTTTTTAAGAACTGAAAAAACTGTTATCAACTTTTTCCAAGGACACTTTCTGAACTAGCAACAACTGTCCCAATTCAAAAGTTTAAATATCTGAGAACAGCATCTGACAGTGCATTTTTGCAGTGTCAAGAAAACTAATGTTATCCTTGAGTCAGAAATGATGAGTTGTGTGTGCAATGTGTCAAATATTTTAAAAATGCTAATTACAGGGGCTTCCCTGGTGGCGCAGTGGTTGAGAGTCTGCCTGCCGAGGCAGGGGACGCGGGTTCGTGCCCCGGTCCGGGAAGATCCCACATGCCGCAGAGCGGCTGGGCCCGTGAGCCATGGCCGCTGAGCCTGCACGTCCGGAGCCTCTGCTCCACAACGGGAGAGGCCACAACAGTGAGAGGCCCGCATACCGCCAAAAAAAAAAAAAAGCTAATTACAGGCAAAGTTTGGAGTCCCAGTGTAATCTGAGGTGATTCCTTTCCAATACCTTCCAAAAAAAAAATCTAGACACTGGAGGGTATAAACAGGAAAGAGGCTCTCCTTCCTGTTAGTTATGTGGGGCCCCAGCTCCTTTCAACTAATTCAGAAAATTCTTACTGAGAGTGGGTTCCATCCACCTCAGGAAGCAGCAGCTCTGAACCCTCATCAGGGTAGAAGTCCTTACAGAGGTAAACAACTCCGCATTGCTGACTTACAGTCCTGCCTCAGAGTTCCTGAGTTTTTGTAAAGTTAGGGAACAATTATAACCAACAAGCAAATTCCTGAGTGCTGTCGCAGCAGGAAGAATTTGCCTTCGTGCAGGATGACCTGATGTGATCAAAGCCGCTGTAACTATACCAAGAGAATGAAAGTGGGCTGGGATCCCCACCGTGCGAGGATCTGGCAAGAGTCTGCATTTGACGTCATTAAATGATGTCATGTTTAAACCAACAAATACTCATTGCTCCCTTTGAAGAGAAAAGACCAGAATTTTCTCCGTGTTTCAGATAAGGTAAGCTTGATTCCAGATTCAGACAAAATGCATTCATTAAATGGATTTTTAAGTCTTTTCTGAAATATACTAGGCCCCAATGCAAAAAGCAGGAAGATATGAAAGAACCAGCAAACTGGGTTTTCGAAGGTCAGAGAAAAACCAGGGTGCTAAGGGGCGGGTGGGAGATCCTTGGATGGCCCCAGCTAACCCTCCACGTGGAGCCCTAACAATCTGGCACGTAATACCTGCCGGCCTCCTGGCTTCCCAGAATAGCTAACAGCTGGTCAGGATGTCTACCATTTACTTTAAAATACTCAAGCAGACACAATGTAAGACAGCTGTGTGTGCCTGAAATTAGTTTAAATTACATTCCAGGAGCAGACAGCCATCCTAATCCGGAGTATACACGCCAAGAGTGTTCATCCAGGATCTAATCAGAAATCCCACCTTCCACAGGTACCCGCCTTCCTCCCGGAGTTTAGCTCTAACTCCCAAGGGCCCCTGAGGCTTTTGCTAATTGGCATAAGTAAGTGGCACAGCCAGGACTTGAAGGCCAGTTCTTCCTAATTCTATCCCAGTATCTCAAAAGGTATTCTCAATGGCTGGAAGCTTCCAGAACGACAAGGAAAGTCTTAAGAAGGTGGATGGATCTGAAGGGCATTTACTCGGCTTTCTGGCTGATGGTCTGCACACTTCAATCTCTAGAAGTCACGTAAGATTCACAGTTTGGCTTCAGAAGCCAAGGACCCCTTTCCCCTCCTTATTCAGAATGGACAAGAGACAGACTCCCTGGAGACGTAGTTTCAGTTCCTACCTTCTGCTCCACCTGCAGGACCCTCCAGCTAGAAATGGAGGTGCTGGCCTCTTGCTCGTTCTGGGAATTTGGCCTCTG